ATATATATATTATATATATATATATATATATATATATATATATATATTATATATATTATATATATATATATATATATATATATATATCTATCTATCTATATACATACATACATATAATATATATATATATATATATATATATATATATATATATATATATATATATATATATATTATATATATATAATATATTATATAATATATATTATATATATATATATATATATATATATATAATATATATATATATATATATATATATATATATCTATATATATATATATATATATATATATATATATATATATATATATATATATATATATATATATTATATATATATATATATATATATATATATTAATATATATATATTATGTATATATATATAGATAGATAATAGATAGATATATATATTATATATATATATATATAATATATAAATATATATATATATATATATATATATAATATATTATATATATATAATATATATATATATATAATATATATGATATATATGTATGTATTTATATATATAATATAATAATATATATATATATATATATATATATATATATATATATATAATATATATACGTATATAATAGATAGATAGATAGATATATATATATATATATATAAATATATATATATATATATATATATATATATATATATATATATATGTATATATATAATACGTATATATATACTTGTACACTAAGCATATGTAATTTTATGAAATGAAGCTTCCACAACATATCCAGCACGCCGGACAAGCTCGCATCCCCAACCCTCTCGCCTCCAAGAGCCATCGACCAACGCCACTTGCAAACAGCTTGAAATTAACATAAGAACTTAGGAGCCGCGAGAAGCACCAACTCCCATCAACTTCACAGGTGTTCCGGAGGGCGCTAATCGTCCTGAAATCACTCAAGTTCCCTCGTCAAGACGGCCTATGCTCACGTCTTTAGGCCTAAGCTCGATCCCCGAATGGCCCTTAAGCGTCGGGTCGCCAGGGTGGAGTGTTGAGGTCGCGGGGCACCTGAGGAAGGACCTTGTGAGAAGGACTTGTGGGAAGGACCTTGTGAGAAGGACTTTGTGGGAAGGACCTTGTGAGAAGGACCTTGTGGGAAGGACCTTGTGAGAAAAGACTTGTGGGAAGGACCTTTGTGTTGTGGAAGGACCTTGTAGGAAGGACCTTTGGGGGAAGGACCTTGGGAAGGACTTTATGGGAAGGAATTGTGGAAGGACCCTTGTAGGGAAGGACTTTGTGGGAAGACCTTTGTGGGAAGGACTTTGTGGGAAGGACCTTGTGGGAAGGACCTTGTGGGAAGGACTTTGTGGAAGGACCTTGTGGGAAGGACTTGTGGGAAGGACTTTGTGGGAAGGACCTTGTGGGAAGACCTTTATGGGAAGGACTTTTGTGGGAAGGACCTTGTAGGAAGGACTTATGGGAAGGACTTTGTGGGGACCTTCTGAGGAAAGGACCTTGCTTTGTGGGAAGGACCTTGTGGAAGGACAAGGTGACCTTTGTGGAAGGACTTGTTTTGTGGAAGGACTTTGTGGGAAGGACCTTGTGGGAAGGAAGGACCTTGTGGGAAGGACTTTGTGGGAAGGACCTTGTGGAAGGACGCTTGTGGGAAGGACTTTTATGGGAAGGACTTTGTGGAAGGACCTGGAAGGACCTTGTGGAAGGACCTTGTAGGAAGGACCCTTGTGGAAGGACCTTGGGAAGGACTTTGTGGGAAGGACCTTGTGGGGAAGGACCTTGTGGAAGGACTTTGTGGGAAGGACTTTGTGGGAAGGACCTTTGTGGGAAGGACCTTGTGGGAAGGACTTTGTGGGAAGGACCTTGTGGGAAGGACTTTGTGTTGGGGAAGGACCTTGTGGGAAGGAAGGACCTTTGTGGGGAAGGACCTTGTGGGAGGAAAGGACCTTGTGGGAAAGGACTTTGTGGGAAGGACTTTGTGGAAGGACTTTATGGAAGACTTGTGGGAAGGACCTTGTGGGAAGGACCTTGGGGAAGGACCTTTGTGGATGGACTTTGTGGGAAGGACCTTGTGAGGAAGGACTTTGGTGGAAGGACCTTGTGGGAAAGGACCTTGTGGAAGGACCTTTTATGGGAAGGAACTTTGTGGGAAGGACTTTGTGGGAAAGGACCTTTGTGGGGAAGGACCTTGTGGAAGGACCTTTGGAAGGGAAGTTTGTGGGAAGGACCTTTGTGGGAAGGCCCTTTGTGGGAAGGACTTTGTGGGAAGGACCTTGTGAGAAGGACCTTGTGGGAAGGACCTTGTGGGAAGGACTTGTGGACTTTATGGGAAGGACCTTGTGGAACGACCCTTGTGAGAAGGACCTTGTGGGAAGGAACCTTTGTGGGAAGGACTTGTGGGGAAGGACCTATGCAAGGACCTTGTGGGAAGGACCTTGTGGGAAGGACCTTGTGGGAAGGACCTTGTGGGAAGGACTTTGCTTGTGGGAAACTTTTGGCACTTTTTGGGAAGCGAAAGGACCTTGTGGGAAGGACTTTGCGGAAGGACCTTGTGGAAGGACCTTGTGCAAGGACCTTGTGGAAGGACCTTGGGGAGGGACTTTGTGGGAAGGACCTTGTGTTTGAGTGGGAAGGACTGTGGGAAGGACCTGTGGGAAGGACCTTTGTGGAAGGACCCTTGTGGGAAGGACTTTGTGGAAGGACCTTGTGGGAAGGACCTTGTGGGAAGGACTTTGTGGAAACTTTGGGAAGGGACCTTGTGGGGGACTTGTGGGAAGGACCTTGTGGGAAGGACTTTGTGGGAAGGACCTTGTGGGAAGACTTGTTTGTGACCTTTGTGGAAGGGGAAGGACTTGTGGGAAAGGACTTTGTGGGAAGGGACCTTGTGGGAAAGACTTTGTGGGAAGGACCTTGTGGGATGTTCTTGTGGGAAGGACTTTGTGGAAGGACCTTGTGGGAAGGACCTTGTGGGAAGGACCTTGTGGGACGGAATTTGTGGGAAGGAACTAGGAAGGACCTTGTTGAAGGACTTTGTGGAAAGACCTTGTGGAAGGACCTTGTGGGGAAAGGGCGGGAAGGAAGTGGAAGGACCTTAGGAAGACCTTGTGGGAAGGAACCTTGTGGGAAGGACCTTTGGGAAGACCTTGTCAAGACCTTGTGGGAGACCTTGTGGAAGGACTTTGTGGAAGGGACCTTGTGGGGAAGGACCTTAAGGACCTTGTGGGAAGGACTTTAGTGGGAAGGGACCTTGTGTAGGAAGGACCTGTGGGAAGGACCTTGTGGGAAGGACCTTGTGTGGAAGGACCTTGTGGTATCTTTGTGGAAGGACTTGTGGGGAGGACCTTGTTGGGAAAGGACCTTGTGGGAAGGACTTGGGATGTGGGAAGGACCTTGTGTCCGTGTGTCCTTGATTTCTAACCTATTCGTGACAAAGTTTGTGGTGAAGAAGGAATATACTTTGATATACTGTCCGGCATTATATACATATATGTGTGTTGTGTATGTGTGTGTGTGTGTGTATTGTGTATATATGTGTGTGTGTGTGTTATACTATATATATATATATATATATATATATAGATATATATATATATTATATATATATATATATATATATATATATATAATATATAGTATATATGACATATACAAGTTACGGTGTTTTAATGCTTTCCATATCAATAAGGTAGCAGGATCTCTAAGAAGAGATGCTAACAGAAGTCCCAGAATATTGCACAAGTTGGAGAAAGTGGTGGAGAGAGAGAGAGAGGGAGAGAGAGAGAGAGAGAGAGAGAGAGAGAGAGAGAGAGAGAGAGAGAGAGAGAGAAGAGAGAGAAGAAGGGAGAACAGAAAGAGAACGTGAGAGAGATACTCTTACGAACGTGTAATAAAGATTAATGATTTGCCTCATACTGGTCGAATAGATATCACTGGGCACATGGAAGCCACTAGGATCTCCTAATTGCCACTATCAAGGAGGTGGTTGATAATATTATATATCTTCGTTATTACCTCCGCCAAGAAGGTTGTGTTTTGGGTAGCGTTGGTTAGTCTGTTGGTTAGATGGTTAGCAGGATAACTCAAAATGTTACGAACAGATTTTTATGATTTTTCACGAGGTGTGTCTTTAGTCGAACTTAGATGCCGTTAAGTTCTGTTGGTGATCTGGATTATGATCCGGATTCAGGAATTTTTATAAGGATTCATTAGCATTGCGGGGGAGACAATCACCAACGTGTACTTGAGAAAGAGGTGATTTTAATGCAATTTTTCAAGTGTGAATATTCTTACTGCATCAGTGACCTTATTTCCTTGGCGGAGGTATGCGCCCTACGAGTACTTCTACTTTGTAATATGCGATGGATGTAATATGCAATTATTATTTTTTTTTTTTGTATTTATGGCAGCCTGAAATCGAAAATAGACAAATATATTATGTAGGTGTGTGGGGGGGGGGGGGGGGTTAGTGTGTACGTGTATGTGAATGTTTGTGTGCATGCGTGTATGTATGTATGTATGCATTTCGCATCACTTCAAGTGCAGTCGAGACACTAATTTTCCTCGCCTTCTTAAAATGAAGATACAGAATTAATTACAGCTGGAAAAGTTGATAATTTTTGCAGTCATATCCTGGGCACATTTCTAGAAATTAGTTCCCCAGGACATGAAATGAAGGAAGAACACCAAGTACTCTTAAGCATGGAGCCTGTATCTACAAAAGGAAAGATCTCTCTCTCTCTCTCTCTCTCTCTCTCTCTCTCTCTCTCTCTCTCTCTCTCTCTCTCCTCTCTCTCTTCTCTCTCTCTCTCTCTCTCCTCTCTCTCTCTCTCTTCTCTCCTCTCTCTTCTCTTCTCTCTCTCTCTCTCTCTCTCTCCTCTCTCCTCTCTCTCTCTCTCTCTCCTCTCTCTCTCTCTCTCTCTCTATCTCTCTCTCTCTCTCTCTCTCTCCCCTCGTCTCTCTCTCTCTCTCTCTCTCTCTCTCTCTCTCTCTCTCTCTCTCTCTCTCT